TAAAGAACACAAAAATAAATAATATATATCTTTACTAATAAAAAAACAATTGTGAACAGACCGAACTGGTCATTTAAGAAAGGACTAAAAACCTCAAGAAAAGCATCATTTAAATGCAAAGATAAATCATTTCCAATATTACAATTTGCCTCGAAAGCAACTCAAGGTAGAGTGTTATAGAATGACTCGGGTGAAATGATTGTACGAAGAAATAGTAGGAGGTCTCTTTTATAAGGATAGATAACGACTGACCCTAGATTTGGAGCTTTTAAATTGTCACATGCAGTACAAAGGAAGGGAGTCTGGAAGATTCCATTCTGTTACCTGGGTAAGCCTATTCTGTAAGTTCGGACTGGCTGATGATTCCGGTGTGGGTATTGTGCTCAATAAATATCCAGCATACTGTGACTATTCAACAAACGAAATGTATTGAATAAGCCAACTGGACGCTAGTTGGAAACCTCCTTGCGAATGTGAGTCTCACACTCTTGATTGTTCAGTAAGGATATAAATATCCAGCACAATATCCACCCTGGGATTCCAAGCAGGTCCATCTGCTCAGGCCTATTTGGGTATCTGCAACATCCATAGACCCAACCTGTAATTTATATTGCAACTATAGTGAGCGGACCTTAGTTATACTTCAAGTATATAGACTATATCCGGTAGCAAAGCCTCTGCTCGGGAGATTGGAGATTTTTTAAGAGAATAGAACCACCTCTTAATGTTGGTCCCAGGTCAACACTGACTCGGGGTAGTAGCACCTGATAGGGTCCCAGCTATGGGCAAATAGTGAAACCCTAAACAAAAAATCATTTTCATAGTAAAAATACCAGCAAAACAAATTACCAAGTTTAAAGTAAAATTGAAGACACAGCATACACTGTCAAAAAAAATAATAATTAAGAAATTTGCTTTGATTAATCTACTGTCTTGTAAGTGTAGAATTTGGTAATAGCAACAGACAGTACTCAACTGCAAAAGAAATTGCATCTGAGTGATCAAGCTAATCTTCTGGACAAATTGGTAGGTGGTTTATGTAACAGCTTGGGAGATTCCATTCTGTTACCCGGGTAAGCCTATTCTGTAAGTTCTGATTGGCTGATGATTCCGGGGTGGATATTGTGCTCAATAAATATCCAGCATACTGTGACTATTCAAGAAACGAAATGTATTGAGCCAGCCAACTGGACGCTAGTTGGAAACCTCCTTGCGAAGGTGAGTCTCACACACTTGATTGTTAAGTAAGGAGAAACAAGTTTCCACTCCTCGATTGATTTTGTAGGATTATTCGATAAGAAAAATGCAGCTAAACAATTATAATTTAATCATTTTGTAAACTTAAGCACCCTCTTAAAACTTAGAAATGTTGTACCCTCAAAACAAATAGTGTTTCAAAATGGGGGTTATTCCTTTGACACCGCTATTACACCGTTTCTTTACTCCATCGGTAATGGTTTTTTTTTGTTTTGTTTTTTTTAACTTAAGTAAATATAACGCACCCGACTGGTTTTCGAACTCGGTTTTCCGATTTCTCATTTTTTTAGCTTTTATCCATTACACCACCTGCACATCCAAGCAACTGAAATGAAGATTAAATAAAATAAATACTTATGTAAAAGTAACAAAACTGTGACTGTGTTCAATAGAGGGACATGTATGCAGTTACAACCGAGTTTATTTTTGTCAGCCATTTTTATTTTTGACGCTAGTTGGAAACCTCCTTGCGACGGTGAGTCTCCCGCTCTTGATTGTTCAAAAATTCCTGAAAAGAATGAAATCTCACAATGGCCTGAATGTTTTTTTTTTTTTTTTTTAGGGAGGGGTCCACGTTTAGTTCTGTCCCTTCGATGACTGAATTGAAACCCTGAACCAACCATTTTGATTCCTCACACCTTCAACCGAAGCCGTCCTTAATGCTTTCTCTTTATTGTTTCTATTATGGGGTGTTTTGTAGATTCCCTGCGAGTATGCGGCATTTTCTTGTAGGTAGGATTGAAGGTAATGGATAAATTCTTGTGACTGATTAACTAGGTCAAGGACAGATAAGGAAGGCCATCCCCCCTCTTTCCCCCTTTCGCCTTGTGCCACAATTTTTGTATTTTCATACAAAATAAATATCTACATTCAGTTAAAACCCAGTTTACTTTTGTCAGCCAACTGGACGCTAGTTGGAAACCTACTTGCGAAATTGAATTTCACACTCTTGATTGTTCAAGATTAAATTAAACAAGGAAGGCATCGTAGTTTTTTAACCCAAATACATTCGAATTTTTCGAAAGAGTTCAGTTTTCATCTAATGTATACAGGGTACGATGGATAAATTTCGCCATTTTATATTTTTAATTTCGCACATGCGCGTTGTTTGTTTTTGATTTTTGTCGAATGCACAGTATAGTAGGATCACTTGGGTACCGTCTGTGAGAAAAATAGTATTATGGAGCAATTCACTCAGCCAAAATTTGGAAAAAGCATGCCGCACTGCTTGGCATTCGCGCCGGGAACTCTAATACGAACATTTTGGGTGTCAAACTGAGCACACTGCGGAGGATTCGGATAGAGTTAGATGATTACAAACAGTCAAAAAAAAAAACTCATTCTGATAAGAAAAGAATTCCCGAATTTGTTGGTGAGAGCCTGAAACCCGACACGGAGGCCTACGTCAAGTGCCTTGATTGTTGGGTGACGCGCAGTTGAACTAGAGACCAACAAAACTCAATGCAACACCAAAGATGAACTGAAGGCAAGGATTATGGCAGCATTCAGCAACTGACAAAGAGACGACTCAGAACAGTTGCAGAAGATTCCGAAGTCGTCAAGAGGCCGTGGTTGAAGTCAATGGAGATTTTATTGAATAAATTTACTCTTTACTATTTCAAAATATTTTTGTGTAATGTAGCTGACAATTTTTCCATTGCACCTTGTATATACATATATATATATACGTTTCATTAAATAATATAGACAAGTGTTGTCTATTTATTTTATGTAAAATTTCCTTACTTCATTCTACAATTCACTCTCGTGTAGTCATGTGTGACGTCATGTGATGAGGTGCGATTTTCGCTTCTAGCGTCTTATATGCGCGTGTTTATCGTTGCTTAGTGACAACTATGTAAACAATGACAGACTATCATTACTGTCGTGTCCGTATATTGTTTAATATGTTTGTAATTTACATCTTTGATAATGGCTTAAGTAAGTCGAAAGCTTAGATTATATTTAAAAAATATGGATCAATATTGTGAATTTCTTTCTTCGTTTAATGATAATGTTATCAAACTTATCAGATGTTACGAACAAATTTTACATAAAATAAATAGACAACACTTGTCTATATTATTTAATGAAACGTGTATAAATGAAAATATGCTGCCTAAATACACACACACACACACACACACACACATATATATATATATATATATATAGTATTAAAAGTGCATCATCAAAATGGTCCAATGAAACTGACTTTCTGTTGAAGGAGAAAGTTATACTAAGCTTTCCAACCAGCAAGAACTGTCACTTTGTGCAACACTACCATGTGTGTGTGTTCCGTAAATACTACACTCTGAAAAAGGATCAAGTGTCATTTTTCTTCACTTTCTATCACATACATGTATATATATACATATAAAAATTTCTCAGAGTTAACCTATAGAAAAGACAATATCTGTAAATATAAATGACAATAGGAAAACTGTAATAGTTGCCTTACTATGAGGAATTAGTAAACTCATTTGTACACATACACACATACATACACATACGCACACACACACACCGTCCCACCACAAGGAATCAGTACATACACACACATACATACACACACACATACACAAACATACTTCTCAAGTTATATATATATATATGTGTGTGTGTGTGTGTGTGTGTGTGTGTGTATCTTCGTATCTCCCGTATGTGAGTGTGCCTTCATGTGAGCGTGCGTTCATGTATGTGAGTGATTTTATCATTGTATTTGGTCACCTTGTGTTCATGTTGTGTGCTTTTGCGTGTGGGGTTATAACCTATTTAGTTCGGGTTTAAATTTGTTTATAAAGTTTTTTCTTGTATTTGTAGGTACATAGTAAGACAGTATATGTATGGAGGGGGAATATACGCACGCATATATACACGCATGCTGAGAGAAACACACGGAAATGGAAACAGATCTACGAACGCACAGGGGTCAGTAAAACATTAAAAGATAAAATGCCGATAGGTAATTCATCATTTCTCGTGGATCAACCTTAATTGTTTTATGACCCTTCGCGCAGAACTCTTCATTGCCAATTCAAGAAAGACATTCGGATTACTAACACAAAAACAGAGAATGTCTCATATCGAGAATATTTAACATTTTAAAACATAAGGAAAAAATGAATTATTTTTAATAATGTGGAAATATCCGCTTTTACCTGAAGACGGTCACGAGACCAGAAACACGTGTAGTAAAATTATGGAAAATGAAGCATAATATTTTTCTCTAAAAAAAACAGATTATAATCAAAAACGTTTGCGGTAGCTCTCTCTTCTTCTTTTTATATATATATATATATATATATATATATATATATATATAATTATATATATATATATATAATTAAATGAGCAATGAGCAATCATGCAATTTCTGCGGCCAGCCCTTACATCTGACCACCTAACAACTCCCTTGATTATTTTGGGTGAGGTGCAGTTGAACTAGACACTAACAAAACAGCATTCAACAAATTAAGCAAGCAGACTGTCAGAAGAGTTGCAGGAGATTCGAAGTAGTTTAGAAGTACGTGGTTAAAGACAATGGCGATTTTTCAAATAAATTTACTCTGTAGTATTTCAAGATATTTTTGTGTAATTTTGGTAATTATATCTGTTAAAATAAGATGTCATTTTTGACTCACGTCTAGCAATTTACTTTTTCTACGCGCCGCTGGCGTATCTTATATGTGTTGTTCTTGTCCTAAGTGTTATTGTTCATTGCCAACTTTCGTTTGATTATTCTATTCAGTAACCTTTCCTGGGTTACAATATGTTGGCGACGAGGATGAGTTAAAATTACAAAAGATATGAATAGACGTATATAGATAGATAGATAGATAGATAGATAGATGTGAACAGACAGATTTATATAGAAAAAACTGAGATAGATATAAACAAAGTGAAGTAGATATAAACAGAATTATAGAGAGAAAGAGATCATGAACAGATAGATAGATAGATAGATAGATAGATAGATAGATAGATAGATAGATAGATAGATAGATAGGGTGAGAGAAAGAGGGAGGGACCAAAGACATAGATAGATAGATAGATAGATAGATAGATAGATAGATAGATAGATAGATAGATAGATAGATAGATAGATAGATAGATGTGGACAGAATAAGATAGATAGATAGATAGATAGATAGATGTGAATAAACAGAAGTATATAGTAAAACTGAGATAGATATAAACAAAGTGAAGTAGATATAAACAGAATTATAGCGAGAAAGAGATCATGAACAGATAGATAGATAGATAGATAGATAGATAGATAGATAGATGATAGATAGAATGAGAGAGAGAGAGACCAAAGTCATAGATAGATAGATAATGAACAGACCGAAATAGATAGATAGATAGATATGAAAAAACTGAGATATATAAACTTGATTGATAGAAACAGACTGATAGAGATATCATGAATAGACTGATATATATATATATATATATATATATATATATAGATAGATAGATAGATTGATATGAACGCTGTTTTCATACTCGTATCATCAAATTGGCAGTGGCAGATTTGGTGGTTCCGTCCCCACCGACCTCCGGAAACCCATGATTGTATGCAAACGATAGTTGATAGTCATTTGAAGGCTTACGTAACACTATGTGAAACTCCAAGCATCAGACAGACTTCATCCAATGACAAGTACCAGCCAAGATAATTGGAGACTGTCTGGAACGTATACAATTCGATAAAACTAAGACATTGATGGTAAGATGTAGATGAGATTGTTAATTCCCAAACCATACCAGCATATATATATATATATATATATATATATATATATTGTTTATACGTTATTTTATACATACAAATATTTAAGTAAATGCTGTGTTAATAATAAACAGTATTAACTACATTTACCGGCCTGAATGACCGAGAAATTTCATAGAAAAAATGCGTCCTGCAACAGGAATCGAACCTGTATCCTATACGGAAGCGTCATATAGCAAGGACAAATTAATTTTTGGGAACTAAATCGTATAGCATATAGTTATTATTATAAACAGAACATCTATTTTTATTCATAAAAATAACGTATTAACTAAAACTATATCAAATTATTGTCTGATTTCATTATATATATATATATATATATATATATATATATATATATATATATATATATATATATAGTTTTAGGTGTGCTATATTTATGGGATAATGTGGTCAATATCAGATGTGGAGCGTATGTAATTATAAATATAAAGTGAACATTGAAATCAGCACTCAGAGGCGACAGGCTGTTTCATACAATCGTCAGGCCGCGAATGTTCTCGACTATTTATATATACGGGTCAGTGGTGCATTGTGGGTAATCTGTTCTGGTGGTTATTTTTGCGGGAGCGGCTTGTTTTTTTATTTAATTGTTTGCGTTAATTTATTTGTTTTTTTTTTATTTTCATCTTGTATTATTTATTCTTTTCGGTTTTTTATGTTTTATTAACGTGGTAAAAAAAAAGAAAAAATGTGGGTCGGGATTTACTTAGATTGCTTATTTAATAGTTTATTTTTGTCTGGGAAGTTAATAAAAGCTATTTATTCGTTCAATTTTTGAAATGCTTGCCGTAGTCTATTCTATAAATTTTTGTTTATTCTGTTTTGTTTTTGTTTTTTGGTTTGCCAGAGTAGATTACCCACAATGCACCACTGACCCATATATATAAATAGTAGAGGAAAAACCCAACATTCGCGGCCTGACGATTGCGTCTTGCATGAAACACCCTGTCGCCTCTGAGTGTTGACTTCAATATATATATATATAATGAAATGTACAAAGACCGACAATTATTTAAAGACATTTTTATGCTTAACATTCTTTTTATAGATACAAATATTTAAATAAATGCTCTGTTTTATAATAAACAGTATTAAACAACATTTACCGGCCTGAATGTCCGAGAAATTTTCACAGAAAATATTCGTCCTTCGACAGGATTCGAACCTGCATCCTATATGGAACCGTTATATAGCCTGACGTGCCTTACCGCTAGGCCACAAAGGATCGTCCGGTTGGCAAGGTCGAATTTACTGCTTATAAACTTCAATTTTCCATGAATCTCGTTGCTGCATCGGCGAAAATCGAATGGTCCATTTCTTGATCGAATATTGCCTTGTAATGAGAAATGCATTCTTTATCGATCGACTCAGTGTATTTTGATCATGACAATGGATTTGGACACATTCCAAAAATAAAATTACACCATCAAAGAATGATGGTGAATGTCTGTCGACATTGGTTAATCGACGAGATCCTACTCTGCCGTAAAAGCTCACCAACTTGGGATACGGGATTTTGGCTATGTTATGATGTTGATTTGGGGTTAGTAGAGACAAACGCCAAATAACACGTAACAATAAAAAGGGTTTTAATAGGTTGGTAAAAAGGTACAGAAATCGCCTGAGTAGTCAATAACTAGCTCAGCTAAGAACTTCTCTGTCTATCTATCTTCCCCATGTCAACTGACATGCCACTATTTAAAGTCTTTGTTCACAGACGCAGACAAGTTCATCTTCAAGAGGGGTGGTAGGTTTCCGACACCGCAGGCTACATATTCCTCTGACCTCTTGTCCACTGACTATCACTTTACCAAGCAGTTGGCATTTTTTTTAATCTAAATGACATTCTGTCGTAAAGAAAACAGCATTGAAAGATTTCTTGGCGTTCAAACCGTTAGTGTTTTTTTTTATAGTAAAGTCGACGGTAGAAATATATAGATTTTCAGGGTTTCTATTTTGACTGATTTAAATACATTAATTAAGGAATAAAACTTGATATGAAAATCAGGTAGTATTTACTGAACTACCTAATTCTACATACCTGTGCTAGACATATTGAGATATTTACCTGCCCATACGTCCAAGATCTCCCTTTTTGTGTGTTGCCGGTTTAGTCCAAAGGAACGGATAAGTGCATACTTTATCTACCGGAGCAGAAGCCGATAATTTTACACAGAGAATCCTCCATTCGCCTTCAGGATACCAATCGGGATTTTTTTGCAAGGATTACTCAATAGCTTCCACTATTTATGACCATAATGCCCCTGTTAGTATCTCGGTTAGTTTTGGATGTGTCTTTGTGTTAATATCGGTCTTAAGAAAGGGGATTCCCTCATGAGGTGAAAAGTAAGTAAAAAGCGCGCCACATATTGAGCAGAGGCTTATGGGTAAAATTTGGTAGACGAAACTCACCGGAAACCGTCTATAGCTATGCTCGCATGAAGTCACAATCCATCGTGACCGAGCGATGACATTATCATGACAGAGAATGAGCTCCCTACTAGAAGCTGTGGTCCACGCAGAATGGTTGCAGTGTAAAACCCAGGTGGGATTTGTGCGTGTTCAATAAAAACAAATGTGCCTGAGCGAGCGTCTGCAACGGGGAGTCGCTCGCTACTCTAGCATAGAGGCATACTCAGTCATCAGTAGACAGCTATATTCTTAGAATTTTCTTTTCCCTTAACTATTTACAAGACAGCTGAGGGGGCGTGGGTAAATGAGAGTTTCCTTAAGCCAAGTTTTACAGCCATTTAAAACGAAGGTAGTCTAGTCAAACATGATAATTCACCCATTGCTGGCGGTAAATATAAAAAAGACAAAGAAAAGTATTTCATTAGAAGTTTACATCTATTCATGTTTCTTTGCAACCATAACTCGTTTTGAGTATTTTAGTTAAAAACAGGTCGTGTGTCCAGATTTAAAAGTGGAAAAACGGCTCAATACTTTGCCTTTTTTTGTCTCCAAAAATGCGTTTTGTGTATCTAATTTAAAAAGTGATGGTGCCTTCTGATTTAAAATTGAAAAAAGAAAAACGCCTCGATATTATGTGTTTCTTAGTCTACAAAAAGCGTTTTGTGTGTCGCATTTAAAAACTGATGGCGACTTCAGATTTAAAAAAAAAAATTGGAAGCATCGCACTTAAAAAAACTAATGTCGCCTTTAGATTTAAAAGTAAAAAAACTCAATACTCTGTCTCTTACTGTAAAAAAAAGCGTGTTTTGTATATCAGTTAAAAACTTAGGGTGCCTTCAGATTTAAAAGTGAAAAAACGCCTCAATATTTTGTTTCTGTTTCCAAAAAAGTGTTTTCTCTATCTAATTAAAACTAAAACTGATGGTGCCTTTTGATTTAAAATTGAAACACCGCGTCAATACTTTGTGTTTCTTTTCTCCAAAAAGCGTTTTCTGTATCTCAGTTAAAAACTTCAGGGCGACTTCAGATTTAAAAGGGAAAAAAAGTTATAAGCATCTCACTTAAAAACTAATGGCGTCTTTAGATTTAAAAGTGAAAAAACACAATACTCTGTCTCTTACTGTAAAAAAAGCGTATTTTGTATATCAGTTAAAAACTTAGGGTGCCTTCAGATTTAAAAGCGAAAAAACGCCTCAATACTATGTGCTTCTAACTCTCCAAAGAGCGTTTTCTGTATCTCAGTTTAAAATGGATGCCACTTTCAGATTTAAAAGTGTAAAAAAGAAATGAATATTTGTGCATTAGCCCCCGAAAATCATTTTTAACATATTGTTAAATAACAAAACAAACTAATGGTTGCTTCAGGTAGCGAATGAAAACTTCAGATTCTTAGAAATCAGATCTTTAAGGTTATCAAATATGGCTACACACTACCGAAATGCATACAAATACACAAAAAATACGGTGAAAATACATGGCTAAACGGTGACATCATATTTAAAAAATGGTCCACGTACGATTACCGAAGATAAGCAACATCGAGCCTGGTCATTACCGAGATGGGTGACCACTTGTGAATACGAGGTGCTGTAAGCCTAGATGTGCGGTTGGTGTAATAATAGTTTGGAAGTATTAATCGGGGAACCGATTGCCCGTACGATCACCGAAGTTAAGCAACGTCGAGCATGTTCAGTAACTAGATGGGTGACCACTTCTGAATACCAGGTACTGTAAGCTAGGATGTGAAAGTTGTGTAATGGATAATGGCTCTGAATTAGTAATCAGAGAGCCAAGTTCCCGCACGATCTCGGAAGTTAACGTGAGCCTGGTCATTATCTAGATGGGTGACCGTTTGGAAATACCAGGTGCTGTAAGCTTGGATGTACAAGTGGTATAATGGATAATAGCTCTGAATTAGTAATCAGGGAGCAAAGTTCCCGTACGATCATTGAAGTTAAGCAACGTCGATCCTGGCCAGTAACTACATGGGTGACCACTTGGGAATACCAGGTGCTGTAAGCTTGGATGTGAAAGTTTTGTAATGGATAATGGCTCTAAATGAGTAATCATGGAGCCAAGTTCCTCTACGATCACTGAAGTTAAGCAACGTCGATCCTGGCCAGTACCTAGATGGGTGACGGCTTGGCAATACTAGGTGCTATAGCTTGGATATGTGGTTGGTGTAATTGATTTACGGCCACGTCACAGTGAAATACCGGTCCCTCTACAATCACCGAAGTTAAGCAACGCCGAGCCTGATAGGTGACCGCTTGGGAATCCCAGGCGCTGTAAGCTTGGATGTGTGGGTGGTGTAATGAATAATAGCTGGGAGTTGTCAGTCGGAGAGCCGAGTTCCAATTCCCGTCGGGTTCGTTATAATCATTTACGTATAAATACCCATTGGAAAGGCATGAATCGACCGCTTCTCCCCCAACTATGGGTTCATCAGTAAGATTTGTTTCACTAAATCATTATTATCGCCAAATACAAAAAATCTTATGCTCTAAAAACATTTTTTCGCTTCTCATAATCATCCAAATCCAGAAGAACCGTAGAAAACGAATGAATATAAATATCATGAAATAGATAGATAGATAGATAGATAGATAGATAGATAGATAGATAGATAGATAGATAGATAGATAGATAGATAGATAGATAGATAGATATGAAGAGACTGAGATAGATAGATAGATAGATAGATAGATAGATAGATAGATAGATATGAAGAGACTGAGGTAGATAGATAGATAGATAGATAGATAGATATGAAGAGATAGATAGATAGATAGATAGATAGATATGAAGAAACTGAGATAGATAGATAGATAGATATGAAGAGACTGAGGTAGATAGATAGATAGATAGATAGATAGATAGATAGATAGATAGATAATCAAGAGATTGAGATAAATAAATAAATAGATAACGAGCAGAGCTAAAAAGAATTGACACACAGATGGAAACATTGATAGTGTGGAATAATGTATTATTCCACTTACGACATTTTTACGCGCGCGCGAGTTTCCTCCCTTCTTCCACGCTTGTGTGCGCGCGCGCTTTTGACACCCCCCTTTCTGTCTCTTTTAGTCTAATACAGTAGTAACTATTTGGGTCGATAGTCAAACGACCTGCTACTCCTGTTTATGCAAATTAGATTTTTGAAATCTTGCCGCGAAAAATTTGTGACGTCAACGACAAACTGTTGTTTCAAAAAAGTCAGTTCTGATCCAGACTCGGACCTAAGCAGACTCATTTTTAGCCATGTCAATATGCAAGGTTGACTGACAAAGGATATCTTACGATGCCAACACCAAATATTAATTCTGCGTCCCTTTTGGATCGTCATTCAAAACCCTTTTATAAGACGATGTATATACCAAATGATTAATCCTTCGTCCCTTTTGGCTCGTCATTCAAAGTCCTCCTCCGAGATGATGCAAAACATCCAAAATATTAATTCCTCGGCCCTTTGAGACTCGTCATTCAAAGTTCTACTCCGAGACGATGCAGAACATACAAAATAACAATCCGTCGTCCACTTTGGGTCTCGTCAGAAATCTGTTTTGAACCAGTACAAAAAAAAATATATGTACATAACATTCACTCTCATTACCTAAAAACTCGCAGTGAGTATTTTTTTCCTTGTATGAATATTACCATGTACATTGACTTACTGGAACCTTCCTTCTTCAAGAAATTTCCCGCCTTTAGCCATCTTGTTTTCTATTTTGGCGCGGAACTTTTTCATTGGTCCCTACCACGGGACAAATTACTTGTTTTTCCTGCATTTAATAAAAATTACTCTTGTTGAAACCCAGTCTTTTTCAGTCATTCCGAGGAGGCTATCTTGTTAATATATTTTAATCGTGCACGTGTGGATTAACCACATTTCTTCGTTGTTCATTTACGCACATTTGATCTTTTTACTTTGCTTGTAGACTCGGTAGTTTAGTGTGGTGTCTGGCACAAGGCCACTTAGTAATAAACCAGCACTGCACCCTACCGGGCCTGCAACAATAGATAATTAACAGACAGTGAGATGACGTATCATTCTGAAAGTCCACACACACGTGCACGCGCGTCTACACACACACACACACACATAAATAAATAAATAAATAAATAAATATATATATATATATATTTTATTACCTCAATCTTTATTATAGTGGAAAATTCGTCTATTTAGACACCCCATATTTCGAGAAATCCTTGCAAAGAATGTGGATTCTCCGACAGGAATCGAAGCTGCATACCTCTTTGTAGAAGTTTATATAGAAAAAATAAAAGAGAAGAAGCTTTCTTTAAAAGGGAAAATAACGCCTTGCTTCCTGTAGCCTTCCTCGTAGCACGCTGGACCCAACGCTGGTCTGCCCTAAAAAGAGCTCTGCAGTTTCGATCCCAACTGGAAACGCGTTTTCTTGACTAGGATTTCTTGAATGCGCAAACCGATAAATGCCATACACACTGTTTAAGAAATATAAAGTGGCTTCTGTTTCAAATACGATGTATCCAATGTAATAACGTTTGAAGTAATATATACATCGGTCTTACCTTTACAACCTTATCTCGTCGTCTTACCTACCATCTCTCAGAATCTACTGCCATAAACAGCATATAATAACAACTTGCAACTTTTGCATTAACAGATTTACCTCCGCCGAAATACGAACATTTCTAACCAACAATACTAAATTTATGCACAAAATAATTGTAAAACACGCCTACAAATTTTCTAAGCAATTAATACTAAAACTAAAAGCCCAACCATAAGCAAAATGGTATTTAATACCGCCACAAACATAATACAGGGTTGTCCGAAAGACTAAGAAAATTTTCTATTTAAGCGATCTGGGGAGTATTTTCATCAAAGAGAGAGTTTCACATGAACGATACCAGAATACCCATCAGTTGAAAGACGTCGTTCGGAGAGTCTACAAAAAAAACAAACAACAAAAGCACAGCTTCGTAAAATATCGCACAGGACATGGCGCCGTATCATTCCATGAAAATGATCGTCTTCATAACAGACCTTCTCGATGTGTGATGGCATCAATTAAAGTGAATAAACCGAATCCAGTTCATGTGCTTTGTATTACTTGTTGTTCTATTGTTCTCGTTACTGATTTGGTAGCGGGTGACAAGACTTTCTGACCACCCTGTATATTTCTGTACAGTACAGAGTGGTCCGAAAGTCTTGTTACCCCTATATATTATCTTCTATTTAAAATGGCTGCCACGAAAATGATAGTGATCATAGAGACCTTCTCGATGTATGACAGCGTCAATGAAAGTGAATAAACTGAATCCAGTACATGTGCTTTGTATTACTTGTTCTTCTTTTGTTCTCATTACTGTTTTGGTAGGCAGTGACAAGACTTGCGGATCCCCCTGTACAACAATTTAAATATCTGGGAAGTGATAGTACATAGTACTTAGTTTACTTTCTCTAGGTAAGTGTTTAACTATTAATGCAAGGAATTTTTGTCCTAATTTGTTCTTTAACATTTGGTTGTATGGGAGTGTATACCAAATTATTTTTCTACTTCTAATTTGGTATACACGCCCCATACAACATAGTAACATATAGTTTCTCACGTATGTAAATATACATATATATATATATATATATATATATATATATATATATATATATATATATATATATATATGTGTGTGTGTGTGTGTGTGTGTGTATTGTTTTTATTTTCTCAAAAATCCAATAATTGACGAAATAACGAAATCTGCTGATGGTTTCTTCTGTAATTTCCAGACAAGAATATTCCTGTTGATCATGTTGATCTTCGCATGTTGAGGAGGAAAGGAAGTGCGCATGCGCGTCCGGTACTCAACGACGGCATCGAAATGTCTGCCTGCTATTTTCAGCAATAAAGGGACAGAGATAGATAAAGCGTGGGGGCGGGGGGAGACGAAAGAAGGAGAGACATGTTGTTGGAGGCTAGAATTGAACTGTGAGAGGAAATTAAGTGGGCGTTCACCACTGGTCAAATACCAATTGCCTCAAAACATTTCTTTCATATTGCGCATATTCTCTTGTCTTGGAAAAAAAAAAAAATGATTGTCTTTCTCCCCTTGAATGATATTTCACAACCATTAAGAGATCAAGTGAAAGTAAATCTTTTCAAATCTCGTCAACTTATCTTGTATTTTTGGGGTTGTTTTTATTTCAGACAGAATCCTATAGAAAATTTGTAAAAGCCAGATATATTCCGTTACTCGCGTGCCAGGAAAAGAGTTTCGATCAGGATATATTATCTGGCTATATTTCTGAGATGAGGTATTATGTACACTATTTACATTATTCAGACTATTGTCCTCATCTTTCTTGCCATATTTATCACAACGTTTCGGCCCTTCAGTATCTGTCTATATTTCTGAGATGAGGTATTATGTACACTATTTACATTATTCGGACTATTGTTCTCATCTTTCTTGCCATATTTATCACAACGTTTCGGCCTTTCAGTATTTGTCTATTTTTCTGAAATGAGGTATTATGTACATTATTTACATTATTCGGACTATTGCCCTCATCTTTATCGCCATGTTTATCACAACGTTTCGGGCGTTGTAATCTCCGGACTTCCTCAGGTGTTTGGAATGTCGAACTGAACTTTTCTAGTTCCACGTGCCATGTCTAATGAATGTTAGCTATCTCCTGCTTAATTCCCCTCTCCAACTTCTCCACTGCCTTAACCAGGTATTGAACTCACAATCTTTAGGTCCTGTCACTGGATCTAACGCCTTTATCCACTGTGCCATGTGCCCCTTGTCAGACACATATTTTACATAGATAATAATTAATCGTAATATGTGAGCTAGACTTGTGTGTACAATTTTTTTTATATTTCTTTAAGTCATGGACTAACAGGAATTCATCCAATGAGTCTATGGGAACCTTCTTCTTCTTCTTCTTCTTCTTCTTCTTCTTCTTCTTCTTCTTCTTCTTCTTCTTCTAAATATATTCTAATTATTTTTTAAAAATATGATTCCTTCGCTACATAAGAGTTCTCATGTTTCAAAAACGAGAGCCGAGAACCTCAATAGAATTATTAAAATCAAATTGAATTAAAGTATCAAGCCCTGTTTCAGCCTCTAGCGAAAATTTATATATATATATATATATATATATATATATATATATATATATATATATATATATATCCTTTTATAAATATCAGTAGCTTTTGATGGGGTTAAATTGGCAAAATGACCTACATCCTAAGGCTTCTTAATTTTAAAGCCTCCAAAACGAAACTGTCTCCTCTAATCGTCTTAGAGAAAATTATTTGATTTACATCGGGATGGCTGATGCTAACCTCCAGGAGAGCTACTTGCGCTTTCTTTGGTTAACGTTTTCTGCTAATATGACGTGGAATGAATATATTGAATCAATTGCTATGTCTACTGATAGGAAAGTTGGTTCACTGTGTCGTGTTAGACAATTTTTCTCGCCAGAATCTATCTTACATATTAGACATGGCACGTGGAACTAGAAGGTTACAATTTTTCTCGCCAGAATCTATCTTACATATTTATAAGTCTACCATTCGTCCATTCATTGAATATTGCTGTCACATCTGTTCTTGTGCTTCTGATATGTATTCAGTGATGCTTAAAAAGAAAAAAAAAACCGTGCGACATTTCAAGTTTTTTTTATTATTATCCCAGCTATGATTGGTATGTTTGAGTCTCAACCACCGAACATAAAATGCTGCACTGAGAAAATCAAGAATTGAAAAGCTCTAGAAATACCCCGGATTGATGTGGGGCATTAGTGTCTATGCCGCCGGAATAAAGCTCAGTATCCCGTCGCTTCAGACAACTGCCTTGCTTGCACTGAAAATATGCCTGGGTTTACACGACAATATAAGATCTGCAGTTGAAAAACCTTTGTAATAATAATAATAATAACAATAATAATAAGAAGAAGAACTAATGATGACACATGGGGACATCAATAATCTCAGTTGTAGTTGGAGCCCTCGGATTGTTTGGAAAAGGGACTGGTAGACTCATTAAAGGGGTTCCTGGTTGTCTATGCCTTAAAGAAATACAAAAAATTGTATTCAAAAGGACAGCTCACACATTACGAAATGCTTTATCTATGTAAAATATGCCTGATATGAGGTTGTTTTTTGCGGGGGTGGGTTGCAAAAATGGGTCAGTGGAAAATCTAATGATGCCATTTCTGAACTTAGGTCTATGGTTGGGACCCGCGTATACAACAGAAGTTTGTCACTGAAGATTTTCTGCGAAAAACTGTTCTCTGTCTGGGTTTACACGACACCCACAATTTAAGATCTTCGGTTGAAAACCATCCACAATACTACTACTACTATTAATAATAATAATAATAATAATAATAATAATAATAATAATAAGTATAACACAAAAAAATAAAACTGTTGCGCTCTGGGTCTGGTAAAGAAAGGAACTCAAGATCAAATCAACAAAAATGTGCATGATCTCTCCTGAAAAACCAAGAAGTAATCCTTTAGTAAATATCAGTAACCTTTGCTGAAAACAGTCATTCATGGCTAAACATTCCCTCCCCCAGTTATATATATATATATATATATATATATATATATATATGGATATATGGACAAGTAAAGTTTTAAGGGAAATCGAATGTATGCAGCTGATAGTTTCGATACACCTGGACAGATCTGGCTTTGGGCATGTGATCGATATGAAAGCTTTGATCTGAGAAAGCAACATCAGAACATGAAACGGATTATTAGGTTAATGTTATGGTTTGTAGAAACATGAGTTGTAGGATTAAATTAACTCTAGCGCAGCCAATACTATAGTCGATAAATTAAATTACCTTAGTAGATCAGAATCCTGAAAGTGTTATATATTTTCACTATTCCACTGTGCCTATACATATATATATATATATATATATATATATATATATATATATATATATATATATATATAATTATTTATTTAAAAATATGATTCCAAATCCTTTACATAAGAGGTCTCATGTTTCAAAACAAGAGCCGAAAACTTCAATATAATCCTTTAAATTAAATTGAGTTGAAAGTAAAATGAGCTCCGTTCCATCTTCAAGCGAATTTTTTGTTGGAATAACGTGTATCTGAAATTTACTTGTTTTAAAATTGAAATCAAAATCCCCATGGTAACAGCTATGGTGAATTGTCTAAATTGGGTAGGCGAGTGTAGGGTGTTTATAATAAGTAGCGGTATAGTGATACTTTCAAGGTGTCAAGTCGGGGAAAGGTGGGGGTGTCAAAAATGAAACGGAAGATGTATTGGCCATCGTCTAGTTTGCTTGTCTATGGAGATTTATTTATATATATACGTGTGTGTGTGTATGTGTGAAGAAATATAATTTTAAGAGGTATTTATGGGATAAAGTGCTCAATATCAGAGATAGAGCGTATGTAAATATAAATATAAAAGTGAACATTGAAGTCAACACTCAGAAGCGACAGGTTGTTGTTTCATGCTAGACGCATTTGTCAGACATTTGTCAGACCGCGAGTGTTGGAAAAAATCCAACACTCGCGGCCTGATGATTGCGTTCAGCATGAAGCAGCCTGTCTTCTGTGAGTGTTGACTTCAATGATCATTTATATATATATATATATATATATATATATATATATATATATATATATATATATATATGTTGTAACTGAGTTATCAAAAACAACAGTAGAAAAACTAGAATTGGTTTAACAACAAGAACGTGCCACTCAACTGTAACCAGCATTCCAGTAGTTAAGGAAGCAACTAGGAACGTGTAAAACAACGACTAACAAAATACCAGTAATCACGTCTTTATCTTAAATAGAATTGATTGTGTTAATAAAATCTTCTATGTGCAGCGCCTCTTCAGGACTTTTATGATCAATGCCCTCCACGACTTCACATCGATTGTAACGCTTAGTAATATTTGTATATTTCTGAGATGAGGTATTATGTACACTATTTACATTATTCGGACTATTGTCTTCATCTTTGTCGCCATATTTATTACAACGTTTCGGCCGTTGTACGCTCCGGCCTTCTTCAAGTGGTTGGAATGTCGAACTGAACCCTTTATTTCGCTCACTGGGGTAGACTGTGTATTATTTTATTATTATTATTATTGTTACTATTATTTACTAATTTTAATTATTATTTATTTTGCCTATTATTTATTATTATCGTTTATTATTACTAATATCCTTATCTATTATTGTCATCGTCATTCTTATTGTTTTTTATTATTACATTTTTTATTGTTATTATAGATCATTTATTGTTATTATTATTTAGTAATTTTCTTAGTATTTACTAATTACAATTTTTATTATTGTTATTTATAATTATCATTATTTAGTTTTATTATTATTATTTATCATTATTGTTTTATGATTATTTATTAATATCATCATTATCAGTTTTATTATTATTATTATTATTATTATTATTATTATGATGATGTTGAAAGAAATCGACTTACATACATTTAACAATAATTTTCAACAGTTAAGAAGACATATCACTTAACTATTTTTATCATCATCATCATCATCATCATTATTATCATCACTATCATCATCATTATTATTATCATCATCTTCATCAATATTATTATTATCATCATCATCATCATTATTATTATTATCATCATCGTCATCATGATTATTATCAATTATTATTATAATCATCCTCATCAATATTATCATCATCATCATTATTATCATCATCATCATTATTATTATCATCATCATCAATATCATCATCATCATCAATATCATCATCATCATCATTATTATTATTATCATCATCGTCATCATCAATAATATTATCGTCATCATCATCATTATTATCATCAACATCATCAATATTATGATCATCATCGTCATCATAAATATTATTAATTATTATTATAATCATCCTT